AACCCTAGATAGATTAGGTGAGTCTAATAGGGTAAGCTTGATATGGGTGCCGGGGCACTCTGGAATAGGGGGCAACGAAAGGGCGGACGAGTTGGCTCGCGAAGGCAGTAGTGGGGTCCTTGTCGGGCCTGAGCCCACCCTTGGAATTGCTCCCTCAGTTGTCAGGGTCAGGATTAAGAACTGGGCGACCAGTCAATTCCAGGCTCAATGGCAACAGGCAGCTGGACTCAGACAGTCCAAGACCTTTTTAACAGGGCCTCTTGGCAAATCTGAGTCTTCTAAGCTTCTAAACCTAAACAGAAGTCAGATTAGGAAGATCGTCGGTGTCTTCACGGGACACTGGATGGTCAACTATCACCTGCACAATATTGGGCTTGTGGAAGACCCTGCGTGCAGGTTTTGTGGTGAGGTAGAGGAAACTACCGAGCATGTAGTCTGTTACTGTGACGCTCTGATCAGGGACAGACATAAACTCCTCGGTGACAGTTACTTGGAACCGAGGGAGGTGAGGAAACTAAGGCTAAATAGGGTCTTATCCTTCATTGAAGGGAACGGGCTCTAAGCTTTGGTTGTTTAGAGAGGGGGTTAGCACAATGGGCCGTTGATGAGCCTAAGTGCTGCCTGTAAAGGCTCCCCTGATAGAATAGAATAGAATAGAAATGCTCTCCCCAACACCCGATTTTGATAAGGGGTCGAGGAGCAGGACTGGGATTGGTATAGACCTTTAATTAGAATACCATGAAAGATAAAACCAACGTCTAACTCCCTCCCTCTCCCTGCGGAGGAAAGTTATAAGATAATTTATTTAGAAACTCATTCCTTTTGATGAAAAATAGTTTGCCCTTTCACAGATTTTCTCCTTCATCGAGATAAAGGCAAAGTTAGTGCTGCGCATGGCTTATTGTGACCTCTGTACCGGCATGTATGTTAAAACGTTTGACCCAAACCACGAACTGTGTGAAAACTTTCATTTTTAGATGTTTTATGGACGAGCAACTGAGAACATTTTTGTCGGCATAAATTTCGGAACTAGGCCGAATCAGTTATTAGATACTACCATAATGTAATAATTCATGTTGTATGATGGTTTAGGTCAGTGCAATAGTGAAACACTGAAACTGTTGTTAATGTATAAGATAATATGTTGCAATTTACTGATAATAAAGCATGATAAACACAAATCACATACACAAAACATGATAGCAATTGCAAGACAAAGACCTGGTTGGAGTAGGTGCAAAGCAGATAACAAAAAATTGAAAAAAATGCCTTAAAGCGAGTAACTTTCTCGCATTTTCCATGAATTGATCAGTACGTCCCGAAAGGTCATGAAAATCACGGACCATTTACGTGTGCAAAGGAACACAAGTTTAAGGCACTGGTTCCCAAAATTTTTTGGTGGCGGAATCCTTTTAAAAACTAAATTTTTAACGGAATCCTAAACAAATGAATAAAGACTCTCTTCAAAACTGTACTTAAAGCCTCGGACGGACGGATGAGCGGAGAAAACAGCGCCTTCCAGCATGAGTTGTAAATGCGCTAAAAAGGTCACTCATCTTTGGGGCAATAAAACCCTTTTGTTAAAAGCAGCATAGAAAATTACATGGGCAAATTCAACGTTAACAGCAAAATATGTGGAAATTAGTGAATGGCAACCCATCTATCCCACATAGATTCTAAAAAGAAGAGTTTTGAGTAGAATTCCACCCCTGCAACAGGTGACTTGCCCATCGTCCGGGGTATCCGACGTTGATGGTCTGTGTCCGAGCCTACAGTTGAGATTCGAGATCAGTCCCGGCATTAGGTGTCGTAACTAATGTGGTTACAGTTATTTACCACCCCGTCACCGTCTCATTCAAGGTGAAAAGTGGTAGTTTACTTACAACAAATCCATTCGACAACATTCACATATTTAAAAGAATGGCGAAAACCATAAATTTAGTTTGGGTTAAGACCATGTAATAAAAACAAAAACTGAGTAACACCAATTTACACTACACATGAAAAACAATTGAAAACAATAAAGGTTGACCGTATTTCTAATACACGTAATGCATTGGGGTTCAATCATAACAATTTCAAAAACAAAGATTTAATATTTAATAAAATATAAAATGTTGCATACAAAACGCAGTCAAATTATAAAGAAATGTAACCTGCATTAAATTACAACTATTACGGAATGATGCTTTCTCAATCGCCATTAAAAACAAAACGCGGTTACTTAGCAAGCGTTCTTATTCGCAACCCTGCAGACTGCTTTTTCCTTCTTCTAAAAAAATCGCGCGGTTGTCAGATCTCGAAAATGTGTGCATCAGCGTAAGTGTATATTATGCAGGAATGCAGATTAGACATCACTAATGGATATATTTCTTCCAAACGTACCAATCGCCCTTTGTGGCTACCCTCGTCCGACACTTCGCTCTAGAGATATTAGAACGAAGTTGGATCCATCGTTCCTCGATCCTAATATATTTTTCATTTGCCTATTATATGCCATTATTATATCTGTCATATGAGATATATAAAGCAGTCCATGGTGTCCTAAGACTTAATGGACTGTCATCTAATTATGCCCTTAGACTGTCAAATATATTGATAGAGTTATAATGTAAATCTACTAAAAAAGATACTACTTTAAAAAAAACCATTCATATTCGGGCAGCCAATAGACTACGTCGCTGAAAAACAATAGCGCCTTTCTTATATTCTTAAGACGGTGTTTACTAATTTTCAAAGCGATCAGGCGTTTCTAAACGGTTATTGGTATTGTGCGCATACACAGACAGACAAACAGACAGATATGCAGACAGCAATACACAATTATAAACGATCCTGAGGATCGTTACTAATTTAGTAGAGTGCATTCTTTCGACCCCAATATTCCCTCCCAACTTGCGCCCTGGCTCAGACGACTTCCTAACAATATAATTTGTTTACAAAAAAATGTTTAATTCTTAATTTATATGTTGCATTTCTTTTTTTTAGAAAAAAATTGTTCAAATAATATATAAATTGTTTAAACAATGAAAATCTAACTTGGGTACAAATTAGTCTTTAATTCATAGTTTTTGATGCGACTAATAAAATTTCAATTGGAAAACGTGGGGGTGCCAACTTGATGTCTAGTAACCCCCCCCCCCCTCCCCACTTTAGAATTGGTTTTCCGCCGGAACTAAGCGGGTACGAATTCTAATTTTGTGGGTACGAATTAGTCTTTAATTAGTCCTAAATTATAGGTATATTTTTACTTGATTTGGGCAAAGTGGGGGTGCTAACTTTATCGACCTAATTAACCTTGTAGTAAACTATACGACTTGGCATGCGACACTACACTGAAAGAAGTATTTATTACTGTTTACAAAAACTAATTGCATTAATAAAATATCTGACTGAAACAGGCCAAAATGTTATTACTTAAGGTACATCCCTAGTTTCAGTAAACTGTGACGTTCCATGAGTTCTGGATAGTCTCTAAGGGTCTTTACAAGTCCTTGTGAAAGCTAGATACGACTCGAGATACCTCTAGACTATGGGCTGTCAATATCCGAAGAGTTTTATATGATCTAAGAGTTTTAGATACAGGGCTGCTATTAAAAAAAAACCAAAGCTCTCACGCTCAAACCGTTTGATATACCTATAGACATGAAAATTAGAACACTTACATTTCAAACTATTTCACATATTTTGAGTGTACAAAATAGTATATTGAAAGACAAGTGTTACAATGCGACCTATTGTAATACGACTATCTTGTGGCACGAGTGGCGTAGCGAAGCGCAGCGACGAGTGTCCACAAGATAGGAGTATTACAATAAAGCATTATAACAACTGTTTTTCGTACTATTTTTTCTATTTCGGGGCTTTAATTTAATTAAAAAGTAATTATGAAAAACTACAGGAAACTTTAGAATTAATATGTCTTAAGTTGGCAACACCATTTACGTTGACAAATTTTAAGTTGGCAGCGTAGATAAACACAACACTGACATTTGGAAAATTTAAATTCCGTGAATGTGTAATTTTTATTCGTAGATAAATTTATTTATGGTGGATGTGTAAACTGCTGATTTGGAATGTATTAAGTTCTTCGTGTACCAAAAATCAAGGAAAGCACATAAATTTTATGTAATTTGATTTCACATCTGATGATTTGACGTTGACGTCTTGACGAACTGCCAACTTAGAGATGAAAAGTTACCAAAAACAATGTTACAATGGAACTCATTGAAACACTGTTTTTGCCGAAAACAGTTGCACAAAATTCTCATTGTAACACCGAAATAGAAAAAATTTTTTGACACATGGTTTTTGATTACGACCACCATCTTGGATTTTATTAAATAGCCACCTAGATCATGTGATATCTCATTAGAAAGCTTATTTTTTCTCTTTCTTACACCTGAAATGAAACATGTATGGTGTTAAATTAGAAAACAAGAAAAAAAGATTCTAGAAAATCTAAAATGGTCCTTGATCAAATAAAATTGATAACCATTGCCCTAAAGTATAAACGGGGGGTTTTTCAAACAGTGGCCGTTTTTACAAGGTTTTTTTTAACCAAAATTTCAGATTAATATCACTCTGGCGTCTCGTATTTTGAGTAATGAACGGCCGCAGCCGCTTTTATTTGTATGTGAGCAAATGTTGCTGAATAATTTATCTAAGTGTTACAATCTCAAGCGCGAAAATTTTCGATATTGATTGCCTACCATGCGTTTGGCTTTCTTTGACGCGTGCAAAATAAAAATTAGCTTGTTAACCCGCTGACCCAAAGAAGGTTCATAATAACCTTATAACTGCCTACTGAAGAGTGGCCATTATCTGCCGAACTTACACAAAGACCCTATTGTTGGATCCTTTTAACCCTAGTCATCCGTGAAATGATATTTGTGTTTATATGGTATTATCGAGCCGGTTGTTAGGGGTTACTACCGTGTTTGAATGAAAATGCTACTCATTTTTCGTGACTGGATGACTCAGTTCACTCTCAATAAGGACGGAGTGTACACGATTAAATTCCTTTCGATATCGCTACGAAAGTGATGTTTTCGCACCCCAAATGCTTTGGGGGGACCATTACATATCTGTGACCAAAACTTTAAGTAAGATATGACCCCTCAGACGCCGTCCAGTTCGGGCAGTGAGGAAGCGAAGGTGCCGCCAAAAAGTGCGGAAGAACGATTGATGGTGGCTGTTAGAATACGTCCTTTAAAATCTGATGAACCGCAAAGAACTTTATATGCTGCAAGTAAAAAGGTAGGTAGGTAAATTTCCAATGGCTGAAACGTTCATACTTCGTGATGTATGCAGATAGCACAAAATAACAATCTTGAATTACCGTGGTAAATTATAATTTGAGGGTGGGTTTAAACAATAGTTGGAAACTTAGTACCTACATCGGATCGGAGAAGCTACGCACTGTTTTTATCAAATTTTTTCTCAAGGTTCAACTTAAACGATTAAATTAAACCGATCGATATTAAGAACTACTATAAGCGTTTTAATATTACAACCATAACCATTCAAACATGCCACCATTGTCATCGTTTCAATTGCGATACATTTGTGATAATTACAATTTGAGAACAAAGAAACCGTTCATATTTAATATTTGGTTCTCGAATGGCACCTGGCCAATATTTCTACATTATAAATAATAATTAATCGTAGCCGAATGACAGGTTCACTTTAATTCTAAGTGGATTTATGCCTTTGTGAGAAGTAAATTAATTTAATTCACTGAATTATAATGGACTTAAGGGTTATTAATTCAAATTCCATTATAAGGCTTCAAGACTTATCAATGAAGCTCAAGGTTTTCTTATAGTAACCGAGATTCATTCAATTACTTATACGTCTTTGGTATAATAAATAAGATTGCGTATTTTACAAATCGTAAGCCCCACTTCAAGATTATCACCACGATGCTTGTACAAAATTCCATAGTTCTGGGTTGCTTTTATGTACTTCAAGAGGCGTTTCACTATTGCCCATCACTTTACGGTAGGAAAATCCATCTTTTTTCAAAGAAATCCGACGGCAAAACAAATGTCCGGTCTTGAAGCTACAGTTGGAATAGAAGCACGCCAATAGCTTCACGGTATGGAACTTTGGTCTCCAATTCCCGTCGTCCGAGATCTTAACAAATACCTATTTTAATCGGCGTTGAAACTGGATTAACACTCGACATTCTAAACCCGTCAAAAATTATACGAGTATAGGCTTCCTAGGAAATATGTTCAATCCTAGGTCAACTTTTACACGTCCCTGCTAGCTACAATACCATCATCCACGTGAAGTGTCCTCATCAACGTTGTCCTGAATTTCACAAAAAGACAGGGATCATTTTCACTCTGAGTAAGGTCACATTTACTCAAAAAATTCATTCCTGAATTCCAGCATCACACTCAACAAAGAACGTACCGAGTCCCATCTCGCGGTAGGGCTGAAGGTTTAAGTGAAATCAAATCCTTCAATTTGCAGATAGCCCTGGTCCACAAGACGCTCCACTGAACCATCAGCATTGTACTTGACTTTGTACACCCATTGACAATCACCTTCTTATCAGCCGGCATAGGAACTAGGTCCCAAGTGTGATTTTCATTACCACTTTCCAGTTTTTGACTTGAGAACTTGCAATGGCTTCGGTGTACGTAGACTGTTCAGCTTCATAACATATCATGGTGTAGCCTTCTGGGGTTCCACTTCTTGGGCATCTTCAATTGGGATCTGTCTCGGAGTTTCTTCCGTTGTTTTCCTCCATATCTTCCTCAATTGATCACAGCCTCAAAATATCTGTGTGAGTCCAGAAGCTTGCAACATAGCCTTGGCTGCTTCTACGAATGTTCGGTTCCCTCTCTAGGCACCGCCATTTTGTTGTGTCGTATATGGCATAGATGTTCTTCTGAACGTCCTACTCCTTACTCAGAAATTTAGTACCATTATCAGACAAAAAAGGTCTTTCACTACGTGTCCAAGAGTCTTCACTTCCGCAAGAAACTGTTTTAACATGTCATTGAGCAATTCTCACTATTCAGAACCGAATGGTAGCCTTTATCCAGAGCAGAAGTCATCGAGGGCAATTTTTTACTCACTTCCGGAACAAACCACACATCTTCAAGACAACCCTTTTTAATCTTTTTCAATGTTGACAATGCTCTTGCCAACCAAGCGCCTTCATTGATTGGCCATTTTTGACTTGAACCTACATTTCTGGAAGAAACATCTCAAAAACCAATTACGGTTCACGGTCATGTGATGCGTTGCACCTGAATCTGTAATCCAAACATTGGGGGAATTCACAGATTTGACGATATTCGATTGGCTAACAAACGCAGACCTTTCTTGACTCTTCTCAGACTTGAACTTCTTGAAATTCTTACAGTTCCGCTTATAATGGCCTAACTTGCTACATTTGGGACAAACTTCTTTGACTTATTGTTTTGGCAGTATTTTCCAACCGCTATTTCGATCGTATTGCTAGGTGTTAAGTTGTGTCCAACTGCATGGAACATCTCAACCCTCTCCCCAGGCCATCTGGGACACTCGTTTACCTATGCCTTATCGTTTACTAGGCTGCAATCTATACTTTCGTTTGTGTCTCTTTTATTGATTTTGCAAAGATTAACCCATTTTTCCCATGCTCCGTTGGGCAATGGGCCATGGAGTAGTCCACCTCTCCTTGTCGTCGGCCTAGCCAATTCTTGGGTCCTGATTCATGATTCTCTGGTGCCGTTGCTCCCCCGTTGTTGGGTATAATTCTGGTTAGATCCGCGTAATTTTTGAGAGCCTATCCACCATACATATACCTAACATGCTATGTGCATGTTCCATTTTTATCAACTAAGCCCCCCAGAACATTTAAGTGTTTTTCGGCCGTTATTGTCTGTCCTAGTATGTCCATAGTGACCTCCTAACCTCCTTCGTCCCGAAGTAGCGTCTTGATTTAGCTTTGCAGATTTTGCATTTTGAAGTTCGTATACAGGTCCATTTTAAAATCTTTGCTTTATGCGTTCAGTCAGAGTCCACTTGATTTTGTGCGAATTTTAATTGTCAAGTTTTGTGTAATATTTGTGCCATAACAAAAGGTAATGCACTTAATTTTAAATATGATTCTTTGTTTTATTGTCAATTGTATTGCCTTTAGCTACTTGTAAATTTGAATTTGTTTGTTATTTCCTTGTTTCACTTTAAATGTTATTCTTATTTTGATTTGTTTAAGATTGTCCAGTTGTTAATGTTACTTGAATGTTTAAACTCGTTTAGTTTGATTAGCGTCTTCAATTCTTTGCGATTTTTGAATGTTTTTAACTGTTTCGTCGGTGCATAAGTAAATGCTAGAGTGTTATAATTGCTTAGCGGCATTCATCTCGAAGTACAACTTCAGTCTAATGTTACCGTACCCAGGACCTTCACCTACCTTCTGGACTGGAGAAGGTCCCGCTAATTAACAACGTAAATTTTGTATTAGATTAAAATCAGATTTAAATTATTCAAATTCAGAGTTACTTCCTGGGATTGTTAATTTTTGTATATTGTAGATATTGCTCCAGATTTTTCACTTAAATTTACACTCTGTAGACAATGATTCGAAAGTTTCTTCGGCTCGGTTCTCTTTCTTTTAGAATGTCTATTAGTACGTTGGGTACGCCAAAAAAAACTGCACTTTTTGATTGGAATATGCCACTTTCTGTGGTAATAGTTAATACCAAAAGGCAACTTTTGAGATAGGGAGCCACTCAAAAATCCGTGCAGGAAACCAAAATGGTGGCCGCCAAAATGGCGCCATTAGCCGCAATATATTTTTTTGTATCTCTGCTCCTAATAGTCCGATTTTAATTTTCTTTTGTTTTATTGAAAGCTCTTGTGACGAGGAAACTTTTTTGCTATATAACATTTTTCTCTAAAACTTAAGAATTTAGCACAATTTTAAAATAGTGTTATCTTTACGAATTTGAATCACAAGTAAAAAAAAACCCGATTTTTATGTGTAATTTGTCCACGGATTTTCTGACTCTTAAGGTCTGATGATGAATCGGTCTATACGATTCGAAGTCGATTAGCTAAAGAAATATTAAAATTCAATTATTTGAAAAACGAGTTTTATTGTATCAATTTGAATCGACAAATAATTCACTACGTCAAGAAAATAGTGGTTTCTATTTAAAAACAGTATGCCTCTTTGACCGTGCAGAAGTATGCTACTGACCCAAAATTGATGTACGTGGATTGGTAGCAAACTTTTTATAATTATGGATGTCATAAAAAGCTTTTTTAAAAAATGTTTTGAAGATAAAATTTTCACCCTGTATAAAAAGCATATCCGGAAAACGGTTAGCCTCGCGGTTAGCATTACGAAAAAAAACCAATAAAACCTACAAAAATAATTCTTTTGTTAAGGGATACCCGGGGATACCTATAAAAAATATCAAAATGTATAGGCTGCCCTCGAGAACACCCTATATATACCTAAAAATACGTTTTAGGCTTCCCCTCAGGCTTCTCCTACCAACAAACGGTTATACTATTAATCTCAAACATTGAGGCTCTATCGTCCGCTTACAGAAGGTGGATTCCCTGTATAATAAAAATGATTCAACTTATATGAATAGGTATCTAAAGCTTGGAAATCATAATATTCCGTTAATATTCTTAAAGAAAACCCGAGAGAAAACCCTCGAAAAAACCCATGATCTGATAAATAAGCACTCCAAATTTCACATTTGTCGTAGCTTAAACCAACTAGTTAAATAAAATAGGATAAGTAAGAGCGAGAGTAAGAGTTAAAGTTGATATACTGAGTGTTTCTTTAATTACTTTAAAAGCAGAGTGTATTTTCTGTTTTTCAGAGAAAAAAATTGACAAGGCTTTTCCTTTCAATTTTCATAATGCTTGATCTCGTGCCTGATGAAACAAATATTGCGCATTTTTTCAAAAAAAAAAACATGGCGGATTGAAATTTTCCGAACTTGCAAGGTAGATACAAGGAGTTTTGTGGTTGAATCGTTTGAATTTCTAAACGATGGCCTTTTTTGTCGAAAAGACCGGGATATTGCACAATTAAGAGCTTACTTGTGATTCAAACTCGTAAAAAAAACACTTTTTTAAAATTGTGCTAAATCCTTAAGTTTTAGAGATAAATGTTATATAGCAAAAAAGTTTTCTCGTCACAAGAGCTTTCAATAAAAAAAAAGAAAACTAAAATCGGACTATTAGGAGCAGAGATACAAAAAAATATATTGCGGCTAATGGCGCCATTTTGACGGCCACCATTTTGGTTTCCTGCACGGATTTTCGAGTGGCTCCCTATCTCAAAAGTTGCCTTTTGGTATTAACTATTACCACCGAAAGTGGCATATTCCAATCAAAAAGTGCAGTATTTTCCCCATTCTAGCCATGTACCCGACGTACTATATCAATTTTTCCCACAGAACACAATCAAATGCCTTTACCAGGTCAACAGATTTTTTCCGTTTTCTATACAACTTTCACCTATTGTTCTTGCATACCCAATCTCATCCCTTATTCCCATCCCTTTTCTAAATTCCGAATTGTTCTTCTGCCACATTTTCTTCCATTACCCTCTCGAGTCTTCTATTTAAACACTCTCAACAATATTTTCGCTGCATCTCCTACAAGGCTGATTTCACAGTATCATCAGAGCCTTCAAGAAATCCTCAGACCAGTCCGATTCATATACGAGTATATCATTACCTGGAGATGTTAATTCCTTCTTCCTGAAGACTCCTTAATATCTCTACTTGAATTCCATAGGTATATCTCCGTAGGTGTACCTGATTTCATATTTTTTATTGCTCTTTTTATAAGCTGGCTTCTACATTGTCAGGACAGGATTCTTCGATTTCTAGGTCCAGGCATTGGTTTTTCTTCTGTTTTATAGAGATCTATCATTATGCCCTTTCCATCAACTTTCTCTGTTTTTAGTACTTTTTCATTCCCGCCTTCCACCCATCTCTTGATGATCTATCCCAGGTAACCTCCGCTGTTCTAAATAATACCGTGCCTTCTTATCAAGCTTTTCTGTTTCATTACATTGACTTTCCCACCACCCTTTCCTAGCTTCATCAGTTTCTTTTCTCAAATGCGTATTTAGCCCCCACTATTGGCATCTTCCTCCTTCGGTATTGATCATCTGTTTGTACCTTTCTTCTCTCTTCCATTTTCTGATTCATCCACGGCTCCTTTGATCTTATTCGTTTCTTATATCCAACTTTCTCTTCAACTGCTTTCATTATTCCCGCCTGATTCTGTACCACTTACACTCTTCCTTAAATTGTGTGGCGACTTTAGATTATTTCTTCATCCATCAATTTCCCGACTCCATCCTTGTCCATTAACCTTAATTTGTCTAAATACCAATTCCCAATTCACTGATAAAGTGATCAATTCACTATGTACTTCCGTACTTTCACGTCTTTTTGGAGAATCTTTACCAACAGAAAGATGGCCACAATAGCCACAAATCAAGAGTTTTTGAAAAAAAACAAAACGCAAGGGCGGGGGGCGGGTAATCATTACGCAATAACTGAATATAACTTTTTAAAGGGAGCTTTAAATATTAACCTTCTGCATATTCTCAGTAACAATTTTCGTTATTCTATAACTACATATTAGCTGCACATGTTAGATACCCACCTCCCAATTAAAGGCCACCACCAGTTGTCATATTTCAGCCGAGACTATTAATTGTAGATGTAAATTGACTTTTCCTTGACACGAAACTTACCTGAACACTGAACCCAATGTCGCATTTTCTAATATAAAATTTATTACATCCTTAGAGCGTGGTTATAGAAGATGATACCGATAAAAACGACGTGCTGCGACACAAACGGGGCGCCGACAAGCAGTACTCCTTTGACGTCGTTTTTTCGGAAAATACATCCCAAGAGGAGGTCTACGAGGTCACGACGAGCTCCCTGGTTAAGGACGTTTTAAATGGGTAAGAAATTGCTACATAAATCATCTTTTATAATGCCATTCAGGATATTCACTACCTATAACAAAACGATTATCTTTTTTCATTCAATGATTAAACCTAATGATAATTTAATTTCCTTCAATGCGCTTTCGCTTTCACCCACGAAATAAATCGATATGGCGACAATTGTACGAGTTGGTCTATTAATATGAGAAGTCCCAACTTATAGCTAAAAACCTTTTAATATTCAGTATAATTTTACTTGTAAAGCGTGGGTGAGCTATATATGTAAAACTTCCCTACTTACTGTATTAGACCCCGGAAGCAGGTACTTACGTGTTTTTATACATAGCAACAATTTAAAAGCTATTAGGGGTAAATATATCAGAACATTACAAATAGTACCTACATACAAGTGCTCTGTAATAAGCTTCTATACCGGAAGCTTATTATTTTCGTAGATGTCCCTTTACGCCTTATTCTAACGTTTAAAGACTGGAACTGTTACAGTTTTTAATTTTACCTGTATGTACTGGACAATAAACTATTATGGCAAAGATCCTAAAGGTTTTTAAGCAAGTTGAATTTCTTAGGATCGTAGATAATCATCCCCTAAAAGAAGCTTGTGAATTGCGGTATAATCATAGTCTATATTAGAGACGGTTCCGCTGTGCAGAAACTACGGAAATGGTCTTCCTGTAGATTGCAACAATCTGTTACAACACAAGGGTTGAAAACCCCGGTTCGGTTGCTATTGCAATTACCAATTCTTGATAACTGACGATGATCTCCCAGACAAATTTTAATTACGGACATTTGATCTTTTGTTCTAAATCTGAAAATCGAAATGTGGGGCTCTGGTTTGACTGCAGACAAATAAATACAAATTTGGTTGAATATGTTGACGAAATTCAAATCGACCCAATTCCTCTTTTTCTGACATATTTCTTATTTACAAATTGGTAACGTTTAGGTACGACGAGTATTGAAAATCTATACCGTCAGATTTCTGTCTACCTTACCTCAATTTAAATTTCAATGAACAGTGAAACAGGGTCTTTTACATAAAGATTCACATTTAAAGCTCATCAAAATTTAAACTCATATAGGGTTATTTTCATTTAATTAAAAATACAAATTTCAAAAGCATTATCCTTCTAGATGAACCCACTCACATTTATTAACTTTTACGCCTTTCGCCCCATTTACCAAAATTTAATGCAATTTCTTAAAGAAAACCGATAATTATTTTTTATATAAATCAAAAAAATCAATGGTTTCCCTATGGTACAAACGGTTTCTGGGCCATATAGAAATGAAGAATTGGATCTCCTTGGGAAAATACGATTGAAGTCTTGCTCATACGCGTATTTTTGTTTATGGAAATGATCGTGCAATACCTTTTTATTTATATCGACTGCATTTAAATTAGTTCTCTATTGGAGCAACTATTAAAAAAAAGGTCAAAGGAAACTGAAATTCGATAAATTACCATTCTTCGACGGACAGACTGACGATTTTCATTTGCGCTAATCTTTACTTTTACACTAACTTTGCTTTTTCTGCGATTCAAATCTTTTAGCAGAACACTATACGCTAGTGCAACTAATGCTCGTCTTTATCACTTATACTTTTACCCCAATTTCGCTTTATTTCACAATTTTAATTTTAGCGTCTGTCACGGTCGTTGCACGTATCTCTTCCTTTTATACTTAAGCTGTAGCCGCCAAGCGAAACAAGTTAAAAACGTGGTCACTCACGACCGACGAAAGCACATTTTCCTCGCACGGAATCGGTAATATCTCGAAAAGAAAGTGACTACTCCAAAAAATGATTCGTCGTTCTGGTCTCGGGGCTGTGCTCCACCGTATAAGAAAGAAACCACAACGAAAAAGCTTAATCTGGAAGACTAGTAGTGGTACAGAAGAACAGAAGGACAGACGGACAAAGTGCGGACAATAGCGTTAATTTTCCTTTTGGAAAATGCGCTAAAAGCGGAATCGCCCCAACTTCCGAAACCAGGGCTCCCTTTTCACCAATCACAAGCCTTCATTTTTATCTATGTACGTTATCTCGGCTCTATCCAGACGGCACCAACGAAATCGGAAGGTTGACTGCTATCTCTGCTCGAAACCCACGCATTCTAAACGCGCATATTTATCCGTCACAAGATGTTGGTTCGGAATTGCGGTTACAATACCTTAAACCCTTTTAAACAGAACATCAAAATCTGGAACTGACTATAGACTAGACGATTTTGACCAAAGTAGTCCAGTTCCTTTTTAGCGCATTATTGTTTTGTCCGTCCATCCGCCCGTCTGTCCGTCCGGACCCACCTCTGAGGTTTTGAGCTACTTTTAGGGGAATGGTCTTAGAGTCCTGGAAGTTTTTGCAATAGGTAGCCTATACCTTGACGGTGTGCCAGACGGACATCAAGTTTGGTTCTTAAAGGGGGGGGGGGGGGATGAATTATTTTATTTCTAATGAAAGGTGTCATCGAAACGAATTGGTTGCACTCAAAAATTTTTTTTCCGGATCGATCTGAGACAATTTTTTTTTCTGGGCTCAAAAAAAGGCAGTGTATAACCTTCCTTTTTTACCAAAAATCGACTACACCAAAATTTCTCGGGAAAACACTTTTCTTATTAATTTTGGTGCGTAGAATCCAAAACAATTCGTACTTTTTCGATCAGACTTCTCAATCAAAAGTTATAGACTAGAAACCAATTTCGAAAAAAAATTCAAAGGGCTATAACTTTTGAACTAGTAGCCCAATCTTGGAACTGTTTGAAATTATGGATTCTACAGGTCACATTTAGGGAATGCAATACCGGGATCGCGGGATCCCGAAATACCGGGATCCCGCAGCATTTTTTGCGGGATTAATCCCGCACATAAATGGAGCGGGATCCCGCGGGATTTGCGGGACTGAGGAATTTGTCGACCAAGTGGACGACTCTGTTCACTTTGTTAATGAAACGCATAACGGAGAAGTTATTTTTTATAGTTAAACACTTTTCGTTAAAAATTTACTATATGATTTTTGAAACACTTTAGAAGGTCACCTTTTTGTGCTTTACACGTGAGGTTTTTTTGAGTTCTAAGTTAGGCCGAAGGTACTTTTTTGTTAAATATTGTGATAATTAGGGATTTATTTTAATACAGACCGCACAGAATTGCTTAGTTGCCAATTTATTTAAAATTTTGCGAGATCCCGCAAATACCGGGATCCCGCGGGATTAACATCTAGCAATCCCGCAAATAACGGGATTGAGATTTTGCTGCGGGATTGCATTCCCTAGTTGCAACAAACTATCACTTTCATGCGCTACTCCTTTCCGAGATTAGTGGTTAACGGAGGGGGTGGGGATGAAATTGGTTTTATCTTACTAGGTACTCTACTGAAACGTCTCAACGAAAGGAATCAATTTCTACCCATTACCCATTATAGTCCTTGTCCTCGACCCATTACCGTGGTCGGTTTATGATTCCTTATATTTCAATTGTCGGAGGAGGGTACTCACAAAGGGCGATTGAGATGTCTGGAAGAAATGTATTCATTGGTGATGGCAAAACTTTAAGACCGAATATCTCGAAAACGGTTTGATAAGTGTTTTCAACTATAAAACCGCTAAAGAAAAGCTTAACTTTTTGCGGTTTTTGGTGTTTGTTTCAAATTGTACGTACCACTAGATGAATTTATGGAATCACACAAATGTCATACCTATAAAAGACGCTAATTAATAATGATTTCAGATAAATTCATCAGAACAGCATGGTTCTACTTCTCCATTATTTAATGCATGTCTGGTTGTCACTCGATGAGTTTCGTTCACTGTTTTTCTTCCCTCAAATTTGCCATGCTTACGATCGATTCGCTCAACCTTCAAACATTTGTATTTGAACAAGTGAAATAAACATCAAAATCGAAATCGGTGATCGTAAACGCAACTATTTATTTGAATTTTGTTAACAGATACAACGCCACGGTATTTGCGTATGGAGCAACAGGTGCTGGCAAGACACACACAATGGTCGGTGATCCTTCAGCCCCTGGAATAATGGTTCGAGCTCTGAATGACCTTTTTAATGCTGTAAAGGACAAACAAGATCAATATTCAGTACGTTTTCTAATTAATAGCTTGTGTTAACGCTACGTCACACTCGGTACCTACTTAATTATATACCATTATTATTTACAATGCCTACCTACGTTTGAACCACGCATATTGGCTAAAAGCGCACGAAATGTTTGTGTGTACCTACTTAATTTTTTTCTATTTTATCATGTGAATCAGTAATATATATGTATATGGGCAATTGATGCATATTTTGTATTTGCCTAAACACAAAATTGAAGGATAAACTTATCATTTATGTCACGGAATAAAATGGACGTATGTCAACTCGCCCCCAAATTCATGAATGTCGATTTAAAGCTCCCGAAATAACGTGTTTATTAAAATTGATTAAAAAATTACCTCTAATTGATAAAAGTAGTCAAACTCAAGAAACCAACGAACGGTTATATTTACCACTTTTCTTTTTACCACATGCAGGGTGGCCAAAGATGATCTGGCTCAGTTGATACATGATAAACTAACAGTAATTATTCTAAATCTATGTCCAATTCTAATTAAATAATTCAGGAGTGAAAGTCTTTTCCTGTTTCACGGCTCAAACACCCGTTTTTCTTGTGTTTGTTCCTTACTTATCGAATGTCTTAACTTTTTATGATTAAATCCGGTCTAACATGAAATGAAGTTACGGTAACGGGTAGGCTTCCACAGTGTAGAAGCTAATAATTTAAAAAACTCTTCAAAACTAAGTCACACTATTCTTTGTTATTTGATGGCGAATAGTTAATCTCGACGGACATGTTTAATCTTTAATTTGTTAATATCTTTTCTTACTACCAATTCCAAATGGTTTTAGGGTCGTTAATTAATTAATTAATAGATGCACATGTACAGAGAATTATTTATATCGAAAATGAATATTCTAAACGAAAAGCAATGCGTCACTAATTAAAATAATAATTAACAATTCTTCTTTTCCCAGTAACAGGGCGCTAGATTTTGCGGCTTAATTTCATTTTAAATTGGTAGAACATAATACCCCCCTCCACATACAAAATTATGAGATTAATAAATTTAAAATGTAAGAGTTTGAGCACCAAACGGATCCCACTGTTGGACTTTGTCCAATGACTCAGTTTCGACATCAAAAATTACGTCCGACCCATGGATTGGCTGGTAGCAGCAGGAACGCCAATTTTTCGTCGTGGTGGTTGATTTCAGATGATTCCAGATCTGAAGAAGCTCGTGGAGGTCGCAAGGGTGGCTGACGGTTGGGGTCATAGATGTTGGTTTTTCTCAACTGGTTCGTGTGGCGTTTGAGCCGATAGCCCTTATTAAGTTCGACTTCCTAATTTTTTTATGATCGAACCAATTTTCCAAGTATTTTTTTGTTTGAATGCCATCTTGCGAGTATTCTGGCCTCAGTTCTGAAATGTCATGGTGGTGGCAGGTCGAATCGTACCCGTTTTTGGGTTTTGGAAGTAGTAGGTTTGAAGACGTCGAGCTGGTACCTACTGTTTCGATTGAAATACAAGTTTTTCCAGTCTGAAGAGAGGGGTGACTCTGTATGGTGTATCTGAATAATATTTCACGGTTATTTTGAGTTGAGTAGAGTTTTGATTTCAAAGTTTGTATACAGGCTGATTCAAATTCTAGGGCCACCATGAGGATCTCGGAAACGGTAAATGATAGGTAGGTAGTTTAAATTTGGCAACGTTGCGTATTTTGATGCTTAATAAAATGGCGTTTTGAAACTGAATAAGAAAATAAAGAAAAGAAGTTGATGACGGTTAACCGGAGACGAAGCGTCAGACCTCGCGTCAGACTTAAAATTTAAAACTAGCATTTTGTAGAGGCAAAAAAGTGGCCATTCGGCATTTCAAAGCGGCATTTTGTTAAGCATCAAAATACGCCAAATTTTAAATACCTACATATCAGAGTTGGACTGGGTCACTGGGTCACTGGGTCAACTGGGTCACCTGGGTCACTAAATTAAACTGGGTCGCTGGGTCACGTCATACTCTTTTCAGTTAGACCCAGTGACCCAGTTTGACCCAGATTGACCCAGTGACCCAACTTGACCCAGTTTGACCCAGCGACCCAGTTTGACCCAGCGACCCAATTTCACCCGGGGACCCAATTCGACCCAGTCACCTAGTTTGATCGAATAACGGAGTTAAGTCAGTGCCCTCGGTTGTGTGTACAGATTATGCAATAAATGAAATGCTGGTTTGTTGAAAATAATACTCGATTGCTTGACAACTGCCATTTCTGTGATGTTTGCTTTAATACTGCCGTAAAAAACTTTCCATGTCCCGTATTGTATTAGAATAATGTTATTTCTTTGCTTCAGGGCTTACCAGTTTGCTTACAGGTGTTCATTCACATTTAATTTTTTTCTACTAGTTAGTTAGCTTAATCCAAATAATCTTTTCTCTAAATACTTTCATTGACTACTTGACTACAAACTATAAACAAATGCATTTGATTTTTTTAGGTATTAGTTCTCTTGAATGAAATTGGGCTACGTGCTTGTTGCCGAATATTATTGAGGAAGTTTTTTTTTAATTAAAAGTTACTGGAAATTGTTTTGGATGATACCTAACAATAATTTAATTACTGGGCCACCGAGTCAAGACGGATCACTGAGTAAAGCTGGGTCAAGATGGGTCACTGGGTCAAGCTGGGTCACCGGGTCAAGCTGGGTCACCGGGTCAACTGGGTCACCGGGTCACTGGGTCAGTAAACTAACTGGATCACCGGGTCACTGGGTCACTGAATGCTTGACCCAGTCCAACTCTGCTACATATTTCTTACAGTTTCCCCCAGATCGCCATGGTGGGCCTCGAATTTGAATCAGTCTCTACACCGTTCGGGCAACCCGTTAGTTGCAGGATACTCTGGCGCTATAAACTGCAAAATTCCATTGTCCAGACAGAAGGGTTTTTTGAAAATGTCACTAAAAAATTATCGCGTCTGATACCATGATTGCAGAGAATCCACGAGTGCAAAAAATATCCAATGCTCTATTGTTTCAGCCCATTCGACTTGGAATCAATAAAAACGAGAAAATGGTGATTCAAAAACAGCCCAGCATAATCAATATGGACGCGTCAAAATTAATGCTCTGAATCGCTGGACTTTTCTTTGGATAGTGTGGCAGTTTTCTACCGTTGCTTCTATATCTTCATCGATGTTTTTTCTTCTTCCAGAGATGAGCTCTAGATGAAGGTTTGAAAGGAAGGCGTTCCTTGCTGTTTCTTCAGCAATAGTTCTCGCGTATCGAAGTAGCCTTGTTGACGTGAAGGATGGTAGCTTCGTTTCCGGGTGTAAAAGTCTGGTTAGGGGTTGGTTATCAGTAATTAGAGTGAATGGACGACCAGTGCGATACATTTATTTATATCCCTCTTTTGTTTTGCGCCCAATTACAGAGTGACCGGCATAATGCTTTTTAGAGGTGCCCCTGCAGAAGTTTGTTCTATACTACTCCGGTATTTACCTTACGAATTCTAACTGCAGGAAAACCTAATTCAGGGTACTCGGTATCTCTGCCGCAGATGAAAATTTCTTACCTCAGCCCAGGATCGAACACTCGACCTCCGGCTATGTAACCCAACGCTCTACCACTCAGATACATAGCCCGTTACATGTATAGTCTTGAATATGTAAATATGCTTTGAAGAGATCCAGATGGCAGAAACATTTTGAATTTCGAAGATTATTGAGAATATCAGCAATCTTTCGTATATAATAAGCCGATTTGAATTGTTTATTTACGCCAATTTTGTAGTCGACGCAAAGAACGAATTGTCAGTCTTTGGAATAATGGCTAGAGGAGAATCCCAGTCACTAATTTAGATTTTTGAAATAAGTGCCCGATTTTTCGGGATTGTGTAGTTCGGATATTAACCTTGTGCAAAAGAGCGTATGGGAGACGTCGTTCTTTGAAAAAAAGGCGTTGAGCAACCAAAATGTTTCGTTTAGGGTACAAATGGGTTTCAAGCGCTTCAACAATAGCTTCGTACGATTTTCCGATAGGTTGTTTAATAATAAATTTATAACCGTTTTAATTTATAACAGTAATTATTATTTATCTCTCACAATTTATAACATAACATCAGCGCATCGAAATTGGAACTGACTCGAAACACAATTCGATTTGTTTATATAGCAAATAACATTCTGTCTAAAATCTTCTCGAGTGCTCAAGGAAGCTGCAAGATGTTCTAGAACAAACACGTTTTATTTCCATGAAAGATTTCGTCACACCTTTTTTTATCGCCGATGACTCATCTTTCATGGCGCCCCGATGTCTATCGGGATTTCTGGAATATTCCCTACAATATGTTTTTGTATTGATATAAAATGCATATTTAAGCTCATTGCTCCTGGGAAAAAATATTTCAAGCACTAAATAGTCATACCAACCACTGCACAAATGTCTTGTTTCGCCTTTCAGTTTATATTTAGTTTAGCCCGTATTTTCTTGTATAGAATCCATTAATAAATATTACCATTATTCATGCCCCATTTGCATTGATCTTTTTTCAATATACCTACAAGCCGTAATGATCATGGTATTATTAGTTATGCTTATAGTAATGTAGTATTTATTTTTTTGTGCTTTTTCCCCGCATATAATAAGTACACTTTTTCCACCATCGATTCATCTCGTCGTTGAACAAGAACACCCCCATTCAACTTATCGTGTGCTATATTATAATTACGCTGTATAATGAATAATTCAACTCCTATTCGCATTAAATTTCAGGTTACCATGTCATACTTGGAATTGTACAATGAACAAATTCGAGACCTACTAAATCCAGCATCCGGCTATCTCGAGTTACGCGAAGACTCCAGAGGGCGAAACATACAAGTTGCTGGACTATCTGAAATTTCAACAACTTCCACTAATGAGGTAGGTATACTTCACTAAGTGAGGTCTGTGAAGTTAGCACGGTCATTAAAAGCACTGTTCACATCGTTAGTGCTTGCATTAGTGCCTCTTAGTGCTTTATGGCTTGCATCAGCACGACAGGCCATTTCCGACAAATCGACCCCCCTTGTGTAGTGCTGACCTCCTACCCTCGTTGAAAGCACTAACGACCGACCAAGTGCTAATCGTTAGTGCTTCGTTCGTCCCCTAATTGCTTTATTAGCACTTGTCGATTAACGATTAGCACTTGTCCGGTCATTAGTGCTTTCAAAGAGGGTAGGAAATCAGCACTGCACAAGGCGGGAGGGAGGGGGTCGTTTCTCGAAAACGGACGGTCGTGCTGATGCAAGTTATAAAGCACTAAAAGGCACTAACGAAGCACTAACGGTGTGATCATGTATCGTCGTTAGTGCTAATACCACGGACCTCAACAAATGCAGATTTTTACATTAAGTTCATTGTTTATAGGTCATGCTCCTGCTTCAAAAGGGCAACAAAGCTCGCACAGTCGAACCGACTGCCGTAAACAAAACGTCTTCGCGAAGTCACGCACTTCTCAGCGTCACCGTTAAGCATTCGATACCGTTAGACAAAAAGAGCCATTTGCGCATGCGAATTAAACAGGGCCGCCTATTTATGATTGACTTGGCGGGATCTGAACGCGCCAATAAAACCAAAAGTCGGGGCAAACGTTTGCAGGAGGGCGCCCATATAAATCGATCGCTATTGGCTTTGGGAAACTGCATAAATGCCCTAAGCGAAGGTGCGCGATATGTCAACTTTAGAGACTCAAAACTGACGAGGTTACTGAAGGAGGCGCTCAGCGGCAATTGCAGGACGGTGATGATTGCGCACGTCTCCCCTAGTCTGGGGCAGAAAGAAGAATCGCGAAATACGCTAATCTACGCGGACCGTGCTAATAATATATCCAATAAGGTTGAACGTAACATTTACGACGTTTCTTACCATGTTACTCAATATCAGACGGTCATAAATGAGCTGAAGAATGAAATAAGTCGGTTACAAACGAAGATGACGGAAGAACGGCCCAGGTCGGCGGCGCCTGTGCGATTGAACACAATGGAACGCAACAAAGAAGTTCGTTTGCTTCGAGAACAAATCGTAGCTACCTTCAAAGAACAAATGAAACTCCGAAGGAAGCTGATGGAAATTGATTCACATTTGCTTGGCCTGGGAATGGACGCGGAGCGGCAGCATTTGGTTATCTCCCACTGGGAGTCCAGAAACAACAAGCTGTACAAAAATAACATTAACCAATCCAGGGCGCAAACCCAGCAGTCCTTGAGGTACTCTCTCTAAAAATCTATTCTATTTATTTTGTTACTGTTAATGTAGACGTAAGATGAAAAACGAAGGATTCCGTTCAGCGGATAACGTCGGGCATGAAACGGCAGACGAAGGATCGGATGGTGAAATTGAGGGCGAATCCGCCGTTCAGCAAGCTTGGGGAGAACTGGCCGACATTGAAAGGGAACAGGAACGCTGGTCGGAACTCAGGACGCTCATCGAGCAGAAATTGGAAGACTGTCGTCAGAGGGGCGTTGCACTTGAAGACGTACGAAAATACTACTACCTATCTAAGTTGCACTAATTAAACCCTTACAGAAACTCCCCGACGTTTTATCCTCTGACGACGAGAGAGAAATATTGGCACTAATGTGTCGAGTTCATGAGTTAGAAGCCGACAAAATGGCCTTGCAATCTGAACGCTTGGTGCGCCAGCACGAATTACGCAGACGAGATTTGGTCATTCTGCGTTATGATCGCCAAAGACAACTGTGTGAAGAAATTATAACCAGGCAACGGCAACTTATGGAAGGTAACAATCTGAGCTTGATGGTCTTTTTCTACCCCATTGTTTTAGAAAATAAGCTAAAGCTCCCCTATGATTTACAAGAGCTTTACCAAATTTACCAGCAAGAAATACACGCGGCAACATACGCGGATTACAGCGTTTCTCCTATCGTCAGTCCCGACAAACTTCCTCCGATAAGTAAAATGTGAGTGGTGTTAAAGCATAATGAATACCCTCCAAACAGCAGTACTTCCAGATACAGCGACCCTATCTTTAGGAAAAGTGTTTCAACTGCCGACTTATCCGGTGCGGATGGCACGCCTCCTTCTTCGGCAGATTCTGATGATTTAATCGCGGGCAATTCAAATCTCGGTAACGTTGATAATTTCATGGGTCATCCAGTTTCGCGACCCGGTCTTAGCATGAGACTACCGCCGCTACAACCACCGAGTCCGGGTCTCGCACCAAGATCCACAGAAAATACGTAAGTGACATGTTAAAGCAATTATAACTAGTAAAGTTTGATTTTTAGGGATCAAAATCTACGAAGAGCAATCAGCCAAGACAGTATTGCAACGAATAAAAATTAATTTATTAATATTTAGAGCATCTTTTTTATAAGTTTTAACTGTACCCAACTTTGTGTGCATTTACAAGTTTATGCATGCAATGAGATTACCAATTAGGTGTCTTCAACTTAATATAGAAAAAAAGACGATCTACTTCACAAAACAAATCTTTTTTTATTTATTTAGTAGTAAAAATACAACTTTGAATAGTTTACCTCAACGGCACATCTGTTGATGACCTTATCTGTAATAGACCCCATATGACCCAGAATCCAAAACAATTCGTACTTTTTCGATCAGACTTCTCAATCAAAAGTTATAGACTAGAAACCAATTTCGAAAGAAAATTCAAAGGGCCAATTTCGAAAGAAAATTCAAAGGGCTGTAACTTTTGAACTAGTAGCCCAATCTTGAAACTGTTTAAAAATATGGGTTCTACAGGCCACATTCTATAAGAAAAATTTCTTTCCGGGTCGATCTGAGACAATTTTTTTTCGGGCCCCAAAAAAAGGCAGTGTATAACACTTCCTTTTTTATCAAAAATCGACTACACCAAAATTTCTCGGGAAAACACTTTTTATTATTAATTTTGGTGCGTAGAATCCAAAACAATTCGTACTTTTTCGATCAGACTTCTCAATCAAAAGTTATAGACTAGAAACCAATTTTGAAAAAAAATTGAAAGGGCTGTAACTTTTGAACTAGTAGCCCAATCTTGAAACTGTTTGAAAATATGGATTCTACAGGCCACATTCAATAAGAAAAATTTTTTTCCAGGTCGATCTGAGAATTTTTTTTTCGGGCCTCAAAAAAAAGCAGTGTATACACTTCCTTTTTTATCAAAAATCGACTACACCAAAATTTCTCGGGAAAACACTTTTTATTATTAATTTTGGTGCGTAGAATCCAAAACAATTCGTACTTTTTCGATCAGACTTCTCAATCAAAAGTTATAGACTAGAAACCAATTTCGAAAGAAAATTCAAAGGGCTGTAACTTTTGAACTAGTAGCCCAATCTTGGAACTGTTTGAAATTATGGATTCTACAGGCCACATTCTATAAGAAAATTTTTTTCCGGTCGATCTGAGACAATTTTTTTGGCAGGCCCCAAATAAAGCCAGTGTATAGCCTTCTTTTTTTTACCAAAAATCGACTGCACCAAAATTTCTCGGGAAAACACTTTTTCTTATTAATTTTGGTGCGTAGAATCCAAAACAATTCGTACTTTTTCGATTAGATTTTCAATCAAAAGTTATAGACTAGAAACCAATTTCGAAAGAAAATTCAAAGGGCTGTAACTTTTGAACTAGTAGCCCAATCTTGAAACTGTTTAAAAATATGGGTTCTACAGGCCACATTCTATAAGAAAAATTTTTTTTCCAGGTCGATCTGAGACAATTTTTTTTCGGGCCTCAAAAAAAGGCAGTGTATATACACTTCCTTTTTTACCAAAAATCGACTGCACCAAAATTTCTCGGGAAAACACTTGTTCTTATTAATTTTGGTGCTTAGAATCCAAAACAATTCGTACCTTTTCGATCAGACTTCCAATAAAAAGTTATAGACTAGAAACCAATTTCGAAAGAAAATTCAAAGGGCTGTAACTTTTGAACTAGTAGCCCAATCTTGAAACTGTTTGAAAATATGGATTCTACAGGCCACATTCTATAAGAAAAATTTTTTTCCAGGTCGATCTGAGACAATTTTTTTTCGGGCCTCAAAAAAAGGCAGTGTATACACTTCCTTTTTTACCAAAAATCGACTGCACCAAAATTTCTCGGGAAAACACTTGTTCTTATTAATTTTGGTGCTTAGAATCCAAAACAATTCGTACCTTTTCGATCAGACTTCTCAATAAAAAGTTATAGACTAGAAACCAATTTCGAAAGAAAATTCAAAGGGCTGTAACTTTTGAACTAGTAGCCCAATCTTGAAACTGTTTGAAATTATGGATTCTACAGGCCACATTCTATAAGAAAATTTTTTTTCCGGGTCGATCTGAGACAATTTTTTTTTCGGGGCTCAAAAAAAAGGCAGTGTATAACCTTCCTTTTTTACCAAAAATCGACTGCACCAAAATTTCTCGGGAAAACACTTTTTCTTATTAATTTTGGTGCGTAGAATCCAAAACAATTCGTACTTTTTCGATCAGACTTCTCAATCAAAAGTTATAGACTAGAAACCAATTTCGAAAGAAAATTCAAAGGGCTGTAACTTTTGAACTAGTAGCCCAATCTTGGAACTGTTTGAAATTATGGATTCTACAGGCCACATTCTATAAGAAAAATTTTTTTCCGGGTCGATCTGAGACAATTTTTTTTTTCGGGGCTCAAAAAAAGGCAGTGTATAACCTTACTTTTTTACCAAAAATCGACTGCACCAAAATTTCTCGGGAAAACACTTTTTCTTATTAATTTTGGTGCGTAGAATCCAAAACAATTCGGACTTTTTCGATCAGACTTCTCAATCAAAAGTTATAGACTAGAAACCAATTTCGAAAAAAAATTCAAAGGGCTGTAACTTTGAACTAGTAGCCCAATCTTGGAACTGTTTGAAATTATGGATTCTACAGGCCAAATTCTATTAGAAAATTTTTTTCCCGGGTCGATCTGAGACAATTTTTTTTTCTTGCCTCAAAAAAAGGCAGTGTACAACCTTCCTTTTTTACCAAAAATCGACTGCACCAAAATTTCTCGGGAAAACGCTTTTTCTTATTAATTTTGATGCGTAGAATCCAAAGCAATTCGTACTTTTTTGATCAGACTTCTCTATAAAAAGTTATAGACTAGAAACCAATTTCTAAAGAAAATTTAAAGGGCTGTAACTTTTGAACTAGTAGCCCAATCTTGGAACTGTTTGAAATTATGGATTCTACAGGCCACATTCTATAAGAA